AACTGAATATACCCGGATTCGCTTTACGCAACTCCTCGATACGCGCCTCAATTTCCGGCGATGTGACTTTCGGTTTGGAACCGCCTATTACACCCGGTCGTATTGAGCCAGTTTCCTGATAACGATTCAAAATTTTCGATACACAACCATGCGAAACGCGTAGCTGGCGGGAGATCACACAAGGTCGTATGCCATTGGCGGCCATTTCGACAATTTTCAAACGAATATGATTCGGTAGCGGTCGCCCGTTGATGAATACGCCGCCAAGCTGATTGACGCGACCTTGACCTGTATAAGAAGTGTTTCGTTTATAAGATTGTAAGTTAATAAACTTTTTGTGTAAATAAGTTGGCATTTTCATAAATTACACTTATTTCCATGTACATATACAAATTATAACTTTGGTATGATGTTGGTAAATACAAGAAAAGAAGAGATAAACCCAGAAGAAGTTGTACCTAAATTATCAGAAAGACAAGCTGACTGAGCCATGTCCATGCCCATCTGTATGACTGTCCGTCTTAATTTTTTGACTGAAGTTTGGTATGGATGCTGGGACACTGCGGTGTTCAAAGCATCGAACTGGCTATTGAGTTGTCCCAACCAATTTTAGGGCCAAACATAGCGGGAACATTCGGTACTGACGCCTACGAAACAACCTGAATAGGACTGACGGGGTGGAATGGGTCGGGTGTTTTGAGAATGGACGAGGTACACTCTCTTTCTCTCTATAAACTGCTAAGGTTTATAAAATAGTCTGGTAAATTTGCAGAGCAGCAATAAATTCCCACCCAACCGTCTTTGCATAGCTTTTAAATAATCTTTTTATACCTTAAATACAATGGGCAATATTGCCTGAGTGCTTGGAAATTTTATTTTATTTTTGGAGCTTACCGCCACCCACAATTCCAAGCCTTTCCATTCCAATGTCCTTAGCAAGATGCATATTGATGTCTTTTTGTGCGGAAAACAGTCACGATTTTAGCACGAAATGTGTACTCAGTTAGGAGCATAATATAACAAGTAATTCTGCATCACTGATCGTTTTTTGAGCTTTGACAGTCTCAGTAAATAGGCGATATATTTTAGAGAGGTACATTTTTTGGAACTGCCGCTGGATCTCATTAGACTCGCGAAGCCGGATCTATCGATTCTGGTGGGTGTACTGACAGGCCACATCCTCATCGGGGTACACGCAGTGACAATAAATATCGCACCAGACCCTTTATTTTGCTGCTGCGCGGAGGATGTCCAGATGGAATCACGTCA